AACAAGTCAGGATACAATTCTCAGGAAACAGAAAAGGCGCTAATCCACTCACAGAACGCGCACAGCCAGTCTCGACATAAGGCCTTCCAGCTGGCCCTAGTACGCAGACGAGCAGGCTATTGCAACCTGACTGTGCCCGTTCACTTACAGCGCACAGGGGCCTGCTCTGTTTAATCTGAAGGCCCCGAGCAAGTTTAATTTACCTGGCAATACAAGCTAGCTGAAATATGATTGGTTAAAAACTCTACCATAATAAATAAGTTATTTATCGAGTGGCTTTCAATGTTATTTAAAATAACATTGAAAGCCACTCGACTAAGTGGAAATAATAGGATGTAAAGAATACAGAGAATAATTTTGTTTACATATTTATGAAAATAAAATAAATTGTTATTCTCAGAAAAGTAAATTTATTACATTTACTTTTTTTAAGAATCTTTATTGAACAAGTCAGGATACAATTCTCAGTAAACAGAAAAGGCGCTAATCCAATCACCGAATTTATTAAATTTACTTTTCTGAGAATGTTTAGGCCAGCAGAGAAAGGCCTTGCTGGCCCTGACGGAATGCCACTGCTTTTTAGTCAAATGCCCCTAACCTAATGTCCGAAATAAAATGTGTCATCGTGTCTCTCTTATTCATACTCCTTAGTTTTTTTTTTTTTTTTTTTTTTTGCTCATACACTTAACTGAAATGTGCTCATTTTCAACAATGAAAAGCTCACATGCATGCACACAACTGAAAGGTTCTTAGGAAAACAACAGATTTCTTTGCTCATAAACATGTGATCAAAAATGTGGCCATACACATTCCTGATTGGCTCTCATATGCACCACTGACACATTCTCACATGCAGTAGTGAAACGTTCTCACACAAACTAGTGAAACGCTCTCCTACACACTCGTGTAACTTGGGAGCTAAGGATATCCAACAGTACTTTATTATTATACAATATGACTTTGACTGTTGGATTTACCTGGGGCTTTAAGATGGGCATCAAGAGGCTTTAAAGACGTGCATTCTCTGCCGTGGTCACAAAGCATCAGGAAAAGAAAAGCAACGACATGATGAAGCCTCCTGAGCTTGGTAGACCGGGGACCACTCCACTGCTTTCTATCGCACCGGTGCAGGTCGTGGCCCTTGTGCGCCTCATGGGGCCTGGGAGATTCAGCTCCCTCGCTAAGCTGTGTGGGATGGTTGCCTGGACTCGTCGGGCGGTGGAGGCCTGGTTAGGAGGCAGCCACCAGGCCACTGTCAATACAAACCCTCAACCCAGTCTTACAGCTATTGAGAGAGCAGAAGCTTTCCAATGCCTTGCCCTTGAAGCCCAAGATGGAGCTGAAATCCATGACACAACTCTTGACCGACTCGTGGTCGATGAGGGGACATGACTCCTACTCTGCGGAGGACGAATTCAGTCCTGGAATGAAAGCAAAAGTGCTATTCCTCTGGTCCCTATGCAAACAAGACTGGCCACATTACTAGCCCAAGAGGCTCATGAGAAGAACCACGAGGGGGTCGCAGCAACTCTCCTAGACACTCAGAAAAGAGCCTGGATCATACAGAGCCGTCACGTCGTCAGAAGAGTAATAAATGACTGCATCTACTGCCGAAAGCAAAGAGCTAGAGTATGCCAGCAAGTGATGGGTGACCTCCCGTTGGAGCGCACACAAAGGGCAGGCCTTTTTGAGTATACAACCCAGGATCTGTTTGGCCCCTATGAAGTCAAAGACGCAGTCAAGGGGAGAGCAAGGAAGAAAGTCTGGGGAATTGGTTTCTGCTGCATGGCTTCGAGGGCAGTCCATGCTGATGTATGCGATGACCAATCATCAGAAAATTTTCTGCTGGCCTACTCCTGCTTTGTTGCTCTCAGGGGCCACCCACGCAAGCTGTGGTCCGACAAAGGCACAAAGGTCATCTGAGCTAAACCCGCCATGAACGAGCTCCAAAACCACCTGCGCTGTGTTCAGACCTCATCTGTTGACGACATCGCATCCAAGAACGGGACGGACTGGGCGTGGAGCTTCCACCCTGCTGATGCGCCCCACCGAAATGGAGCAGCAGAAGCTGCCGTAAAACTGATTAAAAAGAGCCCTAACGAGCTCCGGCCTTCCTGTGTGGAGATTGCATGTTCTCGTGGGTTTTCTCCGGGTGCTCTGGTTTCCTCCCACATTCCAAAACATGCATGGCAGGTTAATGGAACACTTGAAATTGTCCCACATGTGAGCGCGACTGGTTGTATGTCTGTGTGCGCTGCACTTGGCTGGCAAACACATCATGGTGTCCCTCGCCTACTGCCCAAAGAAAGCTGGGACAGGCTCCAGCACGCCAGCGACTCTTGTGAAGATTAGCAGATTTCGAAAATGGATGGATAGCGTGTGCCATAGCGTTGCTTCTGGATGTGTGAAATGATTGCAGTTTTTTTTTCCACGTTGTCCAATAAATATGCTATCGTGTTAAAGTTCTTTCAGTGGTGTGTGTGTGTGCGTGTGAATGTTTCACTTGTATGTGTGAGAGCGTTTCACTCGTGTGTCGAAGGGCATTTCAGTTGTGTGTGTAAGAGCCTTTCACTGATGCATTTGAGTGCATTTCAGTTGTGTTTATGAGCAAAACAAACATTCAGTCGAGCGTCTACGAGCCTTTGCAGGAGAAGGGGTGAGAGTTAATCCCGAATTACAGTATGTCCCTCACGGCCTCTCATTTATATCACTGACATTACATCATGCCTACAATTCTTACAGCAAGCATGCGCTCCAATTGTAATCTATTTTATGCATTTTTTTTGTACTTTCCCGAGCAACTTTCACGCAACTTTTGATTGTGCAACAAGAATATGGAGGGGTGGCGGGGGGGGGGGCGATACTGGACCTCCTGTATGCCAAATGCCAACATGAACGGAGCTCTTGTATATAGAAAATAAGATTTCATCCATTTATATGACATTTCATTATTTTACCATTATTGCTAGTTTTATGACTGTAATATTATATTATGTGTTTTTCTTTTCTTTCTTGTAGTTCGTGTTTAATATTTGATCTCATCTACAGCGGCAAGTGGTATCATACCAAAGGTTGAGTTTAATAAATGATTAAAAATAGGATTTATGAGACCCAAAGTCTCTCAGAGCTGACTTTGGGTGAAAGATGGATGGGGTACACCCTCGAGTGGTCGGCCACCAATGGCAGAGCATGAGAAGACGAACAACCACTCACACCCGGACACATCTCCATACAATTTAGACGGGGAGGGGGAGTGTCGGGGCTATATCGTCGTTAGGGTTTCCCTATGAGGGTTCTTATAAATGTATATACTTGTCGCAGTTGTATTTACCTCACCAAATTATTACATTTCATAATATACCTGTATAATAATAGTATACCTGCATTTCATTGTCATATCAATATTTCAGCAACAAATTGAGTTAGGAATCAGAAGTAATGTCAAATAGTGACAAAGAGTATTGTTTCATTGATATGAAAGGGATTTGGTCCCAGTGCTTGTAATGTCTTTCAAAGATGAAGGAAAGGTCTTCAGTGTTTAACACATGAGGATTTCTAATCTAAAAATGCTGAATTGGAGTAGGGTTTTTTTGATTGGTTCCTTCTGGAGGCGCACATTTGGCAAGTGTTCATCATTAGTTAATGTTTGCTCCCACCACAAAACATGGGAAAGATTAAAGGCGTTCAGAAACTCACCAAACAGTGAAAGCATGCCACAAGCAATCCAGACTATCAGAGACATCCCAATGCTGCCCGAGTGTTTTAGGATTCCTTTTGGCGAGATGAAGATCCCAGCTCCAATCATGATCCCAACAATGACTGAAATCCCTGAAAGCAATGTCACCTTCTTCCCCAGTTCAACTTTTGTGTCTTTCTCCCTCGGAGGTTCACCGGAAAGCATTTCATGTCCATTTTCATCTGCTCCGACATGTTCACCGGAGGACGTTCTCTTCATCTTTCAATTCCCGAGTGACACAATCTCTTGTAGTGCAAAAAGTTGAGGTCGGAGCCAATCTGCCTTTGCGACCATGCAGTTACAAAACCGCAAATAAATTCCATTGAGGGTGGGGGGTGGTTCTTCCCCCCGGCTCTCTCTTTTTCTCTTTTTCTTTCCCCTCCTCCTTTCTCTGGTGCTTTGTGATTCATGCCAACTTGCTATTATTTCCCTGCGTGGCCTCTAACGCCTTCTCTTTACCTCTTCGTTTTTTTTTTTCTTAATTTAAAATTCTTCCATGTATCTTCCTCTGATTATTTGGTCCTGTTTTCACGCCTGCCTCTTTTAATTGTTTTATCAGCTTTTTAGACTGCACCCAAAACAAACTGTGCCTTGGCAGTCGGATGGCGTTACAAGTAAAGAAGGTAATTCCTCGTAGAATTCCCCCCCCCCACCCCCCCAAAAAAAAGGTTTGGTTATGGGTGTTGTGGAGAAACACGTGGAGAAACACGCTCTTTCAACTGCCAAAGCTGAGATCAGGGATGTACTGGGACCAAAATTCCCAGGAATAATTTTCTGACACGCGCTGAAAAATATTTGGATGTTTATTGGACTTAATCACATGCATACTTTTTTTTAGAACAAATGTGTGTTGACAAAAGAGATTTTTTTTCCTTTTGTTTGTTTTTTTCTCCCAAGAATCATTGTTTGAGGTAATTGTAAATTGATTTCTCAAAGCAGGTGGTAAAACCATCCCATATAATACTTTGTGTATTGTTTCAGCAAAAAAGCTCAAGCTGAGTGTTTGCACATTCATGCACTGACGAAGACAGAATGACACAAAAGTTAGTCAATAGTGACTCAGTACAGTACTTGGGTTTTTTTTTTGTTTCCACTGATTACCGCTCGAGTTTTGAGATCTAGCGTTACACTTTACTTGAGTGTTCGGGCTTGAGTATGCTTTCTTTTTTTTTTTTTCTTTTTTTCTTTGTTTTTGGTTTTTTTTTTTGATGACATCAGCAGAAATGACAAGAAAACAATCTAGCAGGTCATTTCAAAATGTTTCCTCTCTGGCCGCGTGTGGATTAATAATGTTGGTATTAAAGGAAAAAAATTAAATAAAATCACTCAACTCCCACTCCCATGGAACGTCCATCTCTCTCTCTCTCACTCTCTCTATCTCGCAATCTACCTAAAAAAACATCGCAGATGGTGAAAAGGCGTGTCGTCAGCCCCCGTCTCAGAAGATCTAAACCAATAAATCTCAAACCAGATCAAAACAACCCATTGATGAAAAAAAAAAAAAAAAAGAAATGAAAAAGCCACGAACAAGGCCAGCATCCTGACATACAGCCAGACACGTATCAACGGCATAGACACCTTTGGAACCCCAAAGAGCTGAGTACCCACACCGCTGCGATCCTGATAACTTCCAGTGAACACATTCTTACAATGGAGTGTCATGGTGAGGGAGGCAGAGAAGAACATCTCCCTGCTGAATGTCTCTCAAGCTACCTTTACATCTCCAGCCACACAAACGGCGGTGACAGCGGAGGAGGAGGACAACGCCGAGTTGGAGGAGGAGGACAAGAAGAAGGATCCCGCATGGAGGAACCTACCTGACCGTTGCTTGTCAGATAATAGATCTAACCACATCAAACAGACAGTAGGACATCCGTTGCACAATGCGTTTGTGAAAAGACATATGTGAGGGTTGTCCAGTTGATCCCCCTTGGCATGAATCATCATGGGAAATATAGCTCATCATACTTTATTACTACCATGTATGTATGTAACTGGCCAGATGGATATTCTAGAGAGGGCCATTCCATAGACTTCTACATGGAGCAAAGATGAATCCATCAGAGAACGCTAGAAATCATGTTGAACATCAAAGCAGGCACCCGCTCAACCACTCGTCCTGGCACGGTCTAGTTCGATGTCTCATCAGTTGGCTCGGATGGAGTTGCAGGGTTTCTTGATTCTTTGTTTTTGTTTCTGCCATCATCAGTCACGTTTGTCTTGTTTTATAAATGGCGGGAGTTTGGCTTGGGACTTGTGTTCATCCAAAGTGCCTTGTTTTGTCTTTTTTATGTTGTTTTAATATATATGAATGAATACTTTTACACCATTTATTTTAAAACAATATGGCTCATCTGCCAAGTTGGAGGTGAGGTGGGTGGGGAGAATCACAACATCCATCCATCCATGCATCCATTTTCTGATCCGCTTATCCTCACGAGGGTCGCGGGCATGCTTCAGCCGATCCCAGCTGTCTTCAGGCAGTAGGCGGGGACACCCTGAACCGGTTGCCAGTCAATCTCAGGGCACACAGAGACGAACAACCATCCACGCTCAGACTCACACACCCAGGGATAATTTAGAGCAGGGGTGTCAAACTCAGGTCCTGGAGGGCCGCTGTCCTGCACGTTTTCCAAGTCTCTCTGTTGCAAGACACCTGATTCAAATGAACAGGTTCAATGGCAGGCTTCCACAGAGCTTGCTGATGATCTGATCATTTGAATCAGGTGTGTTGCAACAGGAAGACTTGGAAAACATGCAGGACAGCGGCCCTCCAGGACCTGAGTTTGACACCCCTGATTTAGAGTGTTCCATGAAGCTGCCATGCTTTTGTTTTTGGAATGTGGGAGGAAACCGGAGTACCCGGAGAAACCGAATCACGACATACTGTACGTTCCAATATTTCCAGCATTTCAAACATGCAATCCAATACATTCGATTGTAGGCCACGCATCATGTTTATTTTTCTGAGTACCATACGATCCAATATTTTAGGAACATCAAGGAATGTTTAGTTCACATTGTGAATGAACACTTGGGCTTACTTCACTACTGTATTTTAACGTTTAGGGTGGTATTTTTGGAACAAGTACTTGGTATAAAAGGTTTGAGAAGCGAAGGGTTACATGAGTCCTGGATGGTTGTTTGATAAAAAAGCTTATCCCTTTGTTTGCATGGCATCGTTTCTAATGTATTAACAAATGGATAGTATCCTAATCCAAATTCAAATAATTTATTTTACAATTCAACTTTGTTTGTCATGGAAATACTCTGAGGTCTGACCAAAGCACACGTGTTCTTGGATCAAACAATGAAAGATGTATTCATCTTGAAAATACAACAGAAGTGTCACATTTTGCGAGGTGGTAGTTGGAGGACCCCAAAAAGCAGGGAGGCAGGAAGGAGCAGCGTGGCTGACCAAAATGTCTTCTTCTTCTTCTTCTCCTTTCGGCACGTCCCTATCCAGGGGTCGCCACAGCGAGTCAGTAATTTCCATCCGCCCCTGTAAACCGTCCTACCAACTCGCATGGTCGTCTTGGCAAAAGTTTTACGCCGGATGCCATTCCTGACGCAACCCTCCCCATTTCTCCGGGCTTGGGACCGGCACTGGGGAACAGTGCACCCCCAGGGGAGGGCACTGCCCCCCAGCGGCTGGGTTGTGGCTGACCAAAATGTATTTAACAAAAATGCAAACAGGAATACACAGGAGAAACTAACTCAAAAACTCACTCAAATAAAGTCCAGCAAAATCACAAGAAATCAAAGTAGCAAAAACCTAAGACAGAAAACAAAACATGGTAGTGATGGGTCCAGCGACACCGATGCGTCGACGCTTGCGTCGGGCTCACAGAGCAATCCACATGTCGGTGCGTGTGCTGCTTCATGACGATCACGTGATCAACACGTGGCATCGACTCAGTCCAGGGGACGTCGACTCAGTCCAGGGGGCGTCGACGCAGCAAAAGCCCGCCACACAGTGTTTATAAGGAAGTGTGTCTAGCGACACGATGCCGCCTGCCGAAACAAGCCAGACCTCACCCTCGCTGGAATAAAAATATATATTTGGGCAAAAAAGGAAAACACACAGATTATCAGAAAAATGTGTCCGTCTGACTTCGGACGTCGTGTCGGGTAGGCTAGCTTAGCTGTTGTCGTAGTTCAAAGCTTCTTTAATATGTGACGTGGGTTGCGTCGGCGCCGTGAGTACGTGCTCGCGCTCACGCACGCACAGCAGAGAGCAGCGGACTATCGACTGCTGAGTCACTCGAGTGATGTTGCTACAGTACGTGCATATTATGGAGCAGCTTCTGGACAAACGCAAATTGTCCGCCGTGTAGAGCCATTTTGATCTCCTTTTAGAGAATAAGATATTTATTCAAATCTCCTTGTCTCACCAAGTGCCTCTCGGATTTTTGACGTCTTCTTCCATTGTCTTATTCCATTGTGTGTGTGTTCTCCACAGCAGGGGAAATAGCGTGCAAGAAACGCGACAGACTGAACTTCAAACACTGGAGCAACTTATTTTTCTGAATAAAGATTTGTGAAGACAAAGCCCACAAGCATCCTCATTTCCATAATTTTCAAAGTATTCAAACATATTGAATAATACAATATCAATGCATAGATGTGAATGATATTGTATACACTTCATCATCAAATCAGTCAGTTCAGTCTGTCAAGTGGGTTGGCTGCAGGGATTTTTAAGGTCCAGCAGGTGGCAGTGGTCAGCGACACAGTATCAGCACAGTATCAACACAGTGTGTCAGTGTGTCGACACGCCTCATGAGGCCTCATGGACCCATCATTAAAACATGGCACGTGCACACAGCAACAACAACAAACAGCAACAATGACCCAAACCCAAGTGGTCGTGTCGGGAGTCCTTTTAAACCAGGGGTGTCAAACGTACGGCCCGCGGGCCGGATCCGGCCCGCAAAGGACTTTAATCCGGCCCGCGAGATGATTATGTAAAGCAGTGGTGTCAAACATACGGTCCGCGGGCCGTTCAATCAGGCCCCACAGGATAATTTAAAAGTGAAGAAAATGCATAAAAGACACAGAATAAATATTTTTAATAAGGTGCAATTCATTGAGTATGCGCTAGGGGACACTGTTTTGATCAGAGAAGAAGACAACAGCAGCCTCAGTCCATCACTGAGACAGACCCATGACAGCAGACGCTATCAATAGCACTCTCACATTTACACATTTAATAGCACGCTCCTTAGTTTGTAAGGTGTAGGCAGGGATTACATTTAGATTTTATATGCACGTGTAAATGGTTTAAAACTTCCTTTCTTTATAAATCTCGTTTAATCTTAAAGTGCATTACTATATTTTTCAAAACCAATTACTTGTTAAAGTTTGTACAATCAGTGGGATCAGTTGCAATGCATATATGTGAATGATAAAAGTAAATTGCACATTTGTCGAAGGAAATGTAAGGTGCTTCATGAAATGTTTTGTAAAAGATATGTTCATTTAATTTCAACATTTTCCTAATGTTCTTGTGCTTCTTTATACCAAAACAAAGGAAAGACATATTGTTTTGGTTATTTATAGCAAAGTATGGTATCATTTTAATGGTCCGGCCCACTTGACATCTACCCAGGCCGTATGTGGCCCACCATGTGAAATGAGTTTGACACCCCTGTTTTAAACAAACAAATGACACAATGACCAACAGGTGTGCAGCTGCAGGCGGAGCCCTACAGTGCCACCTGTTGGTCACAAACAGAACCATGACAAGGAGAGTAAAGATTCAATCGGAATAATCCCAGTGTGTTTCTCACTTGCAAATGACATTTGGACAAATCGTTTTTGTGTAAACTGTTCAAATTAAAGTCATGTTCCCCTCTTAATTTAAAGTGCATACCTCAAAACACTTTTTTTTTTTAAGGTTTGGCAGGGGCGGTGGAATGGTTAACACAGGAGTGCCCATTATGTCGATCCTGATCGACCGGTAGATCTAGGACTGGTACCAAGTAGATCCGAAAGGTGTAGAGGAGAAAAAAACAAAAAAACAAGACATTTGTGTGTCTTTGTACATGTTAGTAATATATTTTTTGTGTTAATGTACACTGCACCGTAATCATCCTGTCAGTCTCATTTTCACAAAAAAATATTTAACAAATAAAATAAAATAAAGCAGGTAAATCTTGAATTTACGGTGGCGCGTGACCTACGTCACCGGAAGTTGTTAGTGCTCAGCGTATACAATTCACCGAGGGCACGGGCAAAGAATAGGAATCTAGAGGGCTGAGGGTAGCACTTTAAAACGGTACGTGTGAGCTACGATAGTCAACAGGCTGCAAAAGTGCATCGCTTGCTTCCGTGTTCAGCTTCTCATAATGGCGTGCGTGTGTGTGTGTGTATGTGTGCGTGCGCGGTAAGGGGCGATCCCGGGAGGTTGGTTGATCGAAAAGTCGATCTTCGGTCCAAAAAGTTTGGGCACCCCTGGGTTAGCACTTCCCCCTAGCAGTGCAGAGGTGCAGTGTTCGATTCCAAGACTCGACCTCCCTGTGTGGGAAAAACCTGTGCCCTGTGTAGGCACAGGTTTTCCGGGTACTGTGGTTTCTTCCCACAGTCCGGAACATGCACGGCCGATTAATTGATCACTCTAAATTGTCCTCACATGTGATTGTGAGTGTTGATGGTTCTTAGTGTATGTCCATGGAAACCAGTTCAGGATGTACTCTGCCCAAGATGTCGCAATACAGCTGGGATAAGCTCTCGCACACCCGCGACCCTCGTGAGAATAAGCGGTTCAGATAATGGATGGATATGGGCAAAGGTACCTGGTCGTAAGTGGGACATCATATACTCGGCATCACACTCAACTCAACTCAACTGTATTTATAGAGCACTTTAAGCAGCCATCGCCGCAACCAAAAGTGCTGTACATGGAGCAACTAACATATACAACAGTAAAGCAACAAATCAGTAACCAAGACGGTAGAAAGCACCGAACAGCAAAACCAAGAACAAATCTGAGTCATGCTGAGTCAAATGCGATTCACACCTGCAAAGGAGTGGGGCGAGGGGGGCGGGGGGATGCAAGCGTGGAACTTCCGATAACGTAATAAACTGAAGCTCCAAGACAGAGGGGGTTTTGAACTTCTAAAGCAGGGGTGTCAAACTCAGGTCCTGGAGGGCTGCTGTCCTGCATGTTTTCCAAGTCTGCCTTTTGCAACACACCTGATTCAAATGAACAGGTTCAATGTCAGGCTAGGCCACTTTGGGTTAAATACCCTGCATTCTGTATCTATTTTTCTCTTACCTAACCTTTTCGCTATGAGGGGCGGGTTTAGGATTTTTTTCTGGGGTTGCCAGATTTTCTGGGGTTGCCAGATAACGGCACAGACCGCAGAAAAATGCACCAAATGTCATGTTATAGTACCTATATGTGTTTATGAAATTGTTACTAATTAATAGTTAATAATGAAAATAGTTTGTAACTAAAGACAATTTTATTGCGAAAGCCCAACTTTATTACCAAATACAAATCCACATAGATGAAAAATAAATTAAAGTACTCTCTGTTTGTTCAGGGGGGGCAGACCAAATGCAGAGGGGGGCCAGATCCGGCCCGCAGGCCCGTAGTTTGGGGACTTCTGCGGTACATGGACATTGATGCCTTAGTTAAGTGTAATCAGTAGTGTCGGACTGCGTTGTGTTTAAGAATATTGAGGACCCACAGGAGGATTTCTTGTCTTGGCTGTGTTTT